ACCTTCCCGGCTAATGCACCCTACACCAGGGCAGCCCTCCAAGCAACATTGACTGCACACGATGTGCAAGGGTGGGTTTGCCTTGATGTTGCTTTGTGTGCAAGCCCTGCTCGTATTCACTAGCGTAGCTCTTAATCGTAAAAGAGCCTGTCAGAGGTGCTCAGCAGTTGTGATACTCATCAGCACTGGGTATCTAGAGACTACGTCAGCTTCTAGTAAGAATTAAATGGATTTATTCCCTGTCATTACTGCGGGAAGAAAGGTCACCTGCACTGAGTACATAATTCATTGAAATTGTCCTGCGTGTGTGGCCTGAACTCATAATACATTGTTCCACCATCCTTCTTGCCTGAAGTCAGTGACCTTACTAAACAATTGATTCCTTCCGACTTAATTAATCCAAGCAATGAAATGATCCAGTGGGAGACAATTGGATATTGGTTAATATTTAAGCATGGAGGCAATAGGTATGGCCTGAGTGATTTTAGACCCCTGGAAACTCTTTAGCACAAAGAAAAGGTCCAATCCATACAATTTCATTTTTATTTGGGATATTTTTGGAGGTACAATGAAAAGATCTAACTGAAGAAAGGCACGTGCCTAGTTGTAATATCTGAACTCTAAGGGGCTCTTCCATAGACCAAGAATCATCTGAGAAAGCATTATGTCTTTAATAACAGGATTTGATCTTCTCACATAACCTGAGCAAAATGAATCCCCCAAAAAACCCACAACAAACCTTGTGTGCTTATATTTAATTCTAGCCACTTTAATTGCACTTAATTTCCTTCCTCCTCATCATTGAAAAAGTTCACTGTCCACTATCTTTGTAAAATAATTTTAGGCAGTCAGAATTCTTTAAATATTAACAGGCAAAATAATTTCAGAGTGTTGGTCATGCCAGACTTTTTAAAAAATGCTCTCTAAATCCAATTCCACTTCTGCTCCCCGTACAAATGTGAAATAGTTGGCTGAAAGGGAATGTGCTTGTAGAGTGGATCTGAAAGCCTGGCCTCAAATCCTCACAACACCCAAATTCTGCCGATATCCACGTGGATTTCATCGAGTGTGATTCCAGCTCTGGATGCCAGCGCTGGGTAGAATGTGTATCCTCTGTGCTGTGCTTTGCTAGCTGGAATAAAAGCTGTAGGTTGCAAAATTGTTGCCGTGCAAACACAGCACCCATGGGGAGAGTGCTGGGTGTGCGACTTGGCCTTTCATTCCCTTCCTTCTCAGATGTGTTGTGGGGATTCTCCAGCTGTTCCTGGGGAGGAAGCTGGTCTGGCTTTTGAGGAATCAGTGAGCTTGTTTCTCTGTGATTCACAGCTATTGATTTTCTGGAGAAAATACTGACGTTTAACCCAATGGATCGACTAACGGCCGAGATGGGTCTGCAGCATCCTTACATGAGCCCGTATTCGTGCCCGGAGGATGAGCCGGTGTCTCAGCACCCGTTCCGCATTGAGGATGAGATCGATGACATTTTGCTGATGGAAGCTAACCAGAGCCAGCCGTCTAAGTGGGACAGGTACAGTGTCCAGGGCTGGCCTCGAGACTACATGTTCCCTGGCAGTTTTTAAGTGAAGCTTGACTGGCAAGTCTCTGGCCTGCGGTTAATTCGGTTCAGTAATACATGCTCTGCACCCACAAAGGACACTGGGTTTTCCTCATTTATGCCATGTTGCAATTCTCACTCCACCTGCACCTTGCCAAAGTCGATAGAGATTTTGTCACTGATTTCCACTTTGGGGTCTGCATGTTCAAGTTACTGGATGCTTCTCTGCTGTTGGTTTTATTAACAGACTGTGTTGGCTTCAGTCGAGTTGCATGTGTTTAAAGGACACCATGGTTCTTCCTCCATCTCCTGTACATTAATACTAGGTATAGAGTAATGCAGTTCTTGCAGCATTCTGGGATCAGGCCTGATCTGGATCTCTGTATCTATCACTTTTCAAGGTGCATAAGCCCCAGTGGCCACAATTCCAGGGTTCTTGGGGAAAAAAAAAATCCATACTGGATTAAATTTTAAATAGTTTGCTGAAAGTCATATGGGTAGTTTAGCATATATCAAAGACTTGAAATTTCTTATGTCCTAGATAATTATCACAATTACTAGGCCCTTCCCAGTGACCAGTGCAGGCTAGGATGGAAGTAGCTAAGAATTATCTGTGTTCCCTTTTCTGGAGAGCTCCTGCAGTCTCAGCAGTGTGAATGGTTGAGGATGCCTGTAGCAGGGTTCCTCTCAGGGTAGCGGTCGAGTCTCCAGACCTTGTCAATCCACTGTATTTTACCAGCGTTCAAAGAATAATCTAAAGAAATCCCATTCACTTGCTATTATTAATCTCTCTGCTAGAGTGAACACGTTTCAGGGGGAACAACCAAGTAAATGAAATAAAGAGGAAACCTGGAAGCTTTTCTCGGCATGTCTTCAGTGTGTCCTTGGCAGTTACAGTGAGCAAAGCAGCAAACCTCCTGCTCGGGTTCACCATGCCACCCTTCCACCTCTTTGCTTCCGTATTTCCCGTGTGACACAGCAAGCAATCAGTCCTCCCACCCTCTGGAGAGATTTGGCCTGTAAATTTTGCCACACAAGCCAAGAGTTTTAGAAATGGGAAATGGTTTCCCTTGCGTGCTATGGGACATCTCAAGAGCATTTCATTAGCAAAAAATACAGCCCCAAGGCATGGGATAACACATCTTTTAAAGGCAGCTCCATTAGGAGACAGAGAATACCTGGCCACTTTGGAAACTGTGTCAGAATATAAGTGTTGCAGGTAATTGCAATGGAGGTCATTACGAGTGGTTTGAGGAGCTACTGCTCAGTCAGGTGGTGCTGCAGGGATGCTCTCAGACCGTGACATCAGAGTAAACTGGTAATGTCCAGTCTCCGTGGGGGCTGAAACGAATCTCTTCTTCCTTCTGTTGCAGTGGATGAGGAGCACTCATATTGTCCGTGACCATTTCAGAGCTGTGAACAACTCTTAATAATCAACTTACAGTTTGATTATCAAGATTATCTAATCGTGGTTTAATCCTAAATGGAGGGAATGTGAGAACCAGTTAAATGAAGGGGCAGACAATTTGGCCCACTGGCTTTTATTCCCATTACTGTCCCCTCCAGGCAGCTTGGGCAAGTTCTCTTGATATATTCCACAGACCCCTGCCTTAACATGCAAGGAAAAGTTCTGCAATATTGCACAAGGTTTTGCTGTGGTTTGATTGAATATTAGTTTTGAGGAACTTTGAGATCTGCAGGTAAATGCAAAATAGTTGAGGTCGTAGTGTGAACACTATGCTGTTTGAGCACTGATATTTCCACAGGCTGCGTGTCTAATAGAAGTGTATCTCTCTCAGGTATCAGGTCAGCCTCTCCTCTGATTTGGAATGGAGACATGATAAATACCACGACATGGATGAGGTCCAGTGAGACCCACGGGCAGGATCTGAGTCCATTGCTGAAGAAGCACAAGTTGATCCATGGAAATATTCACAGAGCAGCTCGGAGAGGTTCCTAGAGCTATCACACTCATCGATGGACCGAGTTTTTGATGCTGATTATGGGAAATCATGTGATTACAAAGTGGGGTCACCTTCCTACTTGGACAAATTGCTGTGGAGAGACAATAAGCCCCATCATTACTCAGAGCCCAAGCTGATTTTAGATTTATCCCACTGGAAAAGAGCTACCATAGCACCCACAGCCGAGATCGCCTTGGAAGAAGAGCCTTCCAACCTCTTTCTGGAGATTGCTCAGTGGGTGAAGAGCACGCAGGTGGGTCTTGAGTGCTCCAGTCCCCTTCCTGAGATTCAAGAATGGAGCCTGCCATCTTCTCCTCACCACCTCCACAAGGAATCCAAGGAGGTAGGCACTGCAACAGACCCTGAGTTTGACTTGGATGTCTTCATCTCCAGGGCCCTGCAACTTTGCACAAAACCCGAGGATCTTCCAGACAACAAACTCAATGACATCAACGGAGCCTGCATCGCAGAGCACCCCAGTGACATGGTACAGACAGAGGTGTACCAGAAAGAGCGATGGTGAAGCACTGCACGTGGGAGATGCCGCTTTCTCCCCCGTTCCTCCCTGACAGCGTGTGCCGAGCAGCTTCAGGCTGTCCTTGAGCATCCGTTTTTTTACACTATCATGAATGCCTTTTTCTGAAAAGGCAAGCACAAACCGCATGCCCCTTTTGATGCCTTAGAAATACATTTAAGGGAATCAAGAGGTGCGAATGAAATACTGGGTTTCTTATACTGCCTTAACAATCTTGCCTTGCAATCTCGGGGACCAGTTTGGAACTTAAGTACACAGCAGAAAAGATGACAGTCCGTGATAAGTTTACAAACGGAAGTCAAATCAATATCTTTTTCTTTTTGTATAGCATTTTAAAACAATGAGAACACTGATCAGCATTTTCAGCATGGTCCACGTGGTCTCCTGCTTTGAGAGGTTTCAGACTCCACTGCCGTAGGGCTGCAGGGGCCTGAGTGTGGTCTGCACGGAGAGGAGCAATGCGGGGGCATTCCCGTGTTCCGCCTCTAGCCTGCGGCGCTGGCAAGAATGGAACTAGAGGCAGAATTTGGTCACGAGGCAGAAAATAGCTTTTGGGGAATACTAATGGGGAAGGAATTTGACCTGCCGTATATGAGCCACTTCGGATTTTTTTCTAGTTGGAAGATAAAACTTTTGCTAAACACATTCTCCTTATTTGGTTCCTCACACATAAGCTTTCCCTTCTGCTGTACCAGGCTAATTGTGAAGTTTCTTAGTACTTCTGGGGCTCAATACTATGTATTTAGCAACCTCATACTGTGAATCCTGTCATAGGCAACTGCCCAGCAGACCAGCACATTCTGGGGTACAGGCTGGAGTGGGGCAGGGAGCCAGGAACAGGGGGGTTCAGGGCACGACGCTGCCTCTCTCACCCACTAGCTGCAGAGTCCGAGCAAGGTCACTTCCCTTCTCCATGGCATTTCTTCCCACTGCTTACAAAAAAAGAAAAAAAAAGTACTACTACTTACCTTCTCACAGAGAAGGAAAAGAATTGGCTACAGCTTGTGCATTACTTTGATCAGGCAGAGCACTGCATGTATTAGTTCCAGTTTCCATACTGGAAATCTGTGCTCTTTGGCCCACATCTGAACAAAATTGCATCGGAAACTTCAGCTGTACTCAAATAGTCACTTAAATTTGCTGGTGCAGATGGTCCTCCACACAAGGGACGAAGGTCTCCTTGGTTCCTGTGGCATTAGGTTTTTACACGTGTGCATTTCCTACTTGGCCACGATCACATTTGGAAGAGCAGATACATTTCTCCTGGGCACTTTGCTTCCAGCTCCCTCTGGAATGTGATGGTGGCAGTTGGTGAACCAGTGCTGCTCTGTAAATAGGTGTAAACACGACTGAGCTACTGTAACTTCTGTTTTCACCCACACTTCTGAGCACCTTATAACTAATCAGCTAACAAGAGTTTGTATATGGAAGAAATGTTCTATACTTATATTTAATCAAACTAGTCATTTTTTTAAAATTGAAAACATGTAAATAGCTAGTGTTACAAAAGGAAATCTTCACTCTCCTTGTCAGCGTGTCAGGGTGCTCTCCAGCACAGTGGCATGAGCTTCATTTGTAAAAGAGAAACTACTGTACTTAGGAACTCCAAGGTCCCTGTTTAACTGCAGTTCCCATTGGGATTATTTCTACCCTTTTAACAAGCAATCTACTCAATATTTCGAGATGTGAAGAGAACTCATGTGAGGCTTGGACGACTGACTGGCAGCAGCATTTGCTGTGCAAGCCCTGCTGATGTGTCCAGGGCTGAGGGCTCCATGGATCGGGAGGAAACGGCACCTGGAGCACAGAGCGAAGGGGCACCAGGTGTCCCGATGAGGCCTCAACTCCTGCCTGGAAAGAGGACACGGGGGAGAAACAGAGGGCTCATTTCAGACGTGCTGTGGATTATTGATATACCTCAACTAACGCTCAGCACTTTTACCCATGGTGGGAGGGATCCCAGCTCCGCAAGAGCAGATGATCCCACGGGATGTGGCCAGGCCCCGTGTTCCCCGCGGCACCTCCAGCGGCCATGGCAGAGGGGAAGGAGCCAACAGCAGCCGGTGCCGCACACT